ACCTGCACAAAAGGTCCGGACCAACGCTGGAAACGAACTCTGGTTCGTTTAAAGCGGAGCAAATTATCAGGTCTGAATACGACCTTAGTTTGGATTTCTGGATGACGTTCATTTCTTTTTAAGCACGATCAACATCTGAAGCGGTCTTCGAAGGTCAAAAACCTGCAGATTTTATCAAACGAATGCAGTCTGTGAACCACTGCTGAATGTAAATATGTTGCTACTGGAAATGGGAATAAATTGAGGGCTTTTAAATCTTGTCTAAACGCTGCTTTTGAAGTAAATAAAAAGGCAGAAAATATTACAAATTGCTGTAAAATGGAGCAGCTTCATGCCATTTCCATTTCTTAGAAAAAAGTGCACGTCGACAATTGTTGAAGTGCCGGGGATTAATGAAGCTTTTGAATTTTACTAATTTAGTAATATTTAATCTCTTCAAATAAATAAATAATGAAATAAAAGATTTATAAATTAGCGACACCTGCAGAGACGTCGCTAATGTAAGTATGCAAATTAGACATTATTTTTGCAATAAAAATCTACAAATAATAATGTGGCTTAAAGAAGTTACAGCTACAACCAAACTAGTGTTTTTAAACAACCAGTTGTTTCTTTGGTTTAATCTCTCGCAGTTTGACAGACATACAATAAAACTGCAGAACCTAAATTAATTAATTTATTAATTGTCCGTCTATAAAAGTCATTAGTATGAAATGTCTTAAAGCTTGTATGTTTTGAGGATGAAACTGTCTTCAGCATTCTTAAAACCTTTCAAAATGTTCATCGATCTTTACTGTTTTTGTACTTTTTGTTCTGATTCTGCCTTTTTATGTTGTACTTCAGCTTCCTTCTGCTTTTATTTAGCTGATTTTACCTTTTTTCAGCCTTTTTAGTTATCATTCTGACCTTTTCTGCCATTCTTCTGCTAATTTAAACCTTTTGTTTTTCTTTCAGCTATTTTTTTGTTAATTTGAGCTGTTTTTGTTTTTAGCTACTTTTTTTTTTTTAGCAAATTTGTGCTTGCTTCAGCTTTTTACTGCCTAATTCAGCAATTAATTGTTTTTTGTGCTAATCTCTGTTTTGTTCTAATTGAAACTTTTTTGCTTCTTTCAGCTGCTTTTTGCTAATTTGAGCTGTTTTTGTATTTTTCGCTACTTATTAGCAAATTTAAGCTTTTTTTCAGCAAAATTCACCGTTTGTGATAATTTTAGCTACTTACTGCTTAATTCAGCAAAGATGCTCTTTTTTTGTTTTTGTGCTAATTTCTATTGGGCTGTTTTTCTGCTGATGTGAACTTTTTCACGGTGTCAGCTGCTTTTTAGCTAATTTGAGCTAAAAATTCACCGTTTGATAATTTCAACTTCCTAATGCTTAATTCAGAAAATGTGCTCTTTTGTTTTTATTTTTTTACTAATTTCAAAAAAAGCTTTTTATAGGCTAGTTTCATCTTTTTTTTAACTAATCAGCACAAATCCATCTGCATTGAGCATTCACACCGCATTTTTGCAGTACCGTATTTTTCGGACTATAAGCCGCACCCGCCATTTAAAAAAAAAAAAAAAAACGCGCGAACAGCAACATATAAGCCGCACCCCTCATCAGTAAAAACAAAAACAAAAGAGTACACCCAAAATTGTGGTCAAAAAAGTGAATTCAACATCACATTTATTTTTAAGAAAAAGGTTGGCAAGTTCACCGGTACAAAAAAAAAAAAAAAAAAACCTCTGGAATTAAAACATAAAAAGCAAACCTTTAGAAATTACTGGTAAAGTTCGGAGGAATACGGTTCATTTAACTGACCTTATTTTGGTAGTTTTCTTTAACCGTTTCTGGTCCAACAAAAAGTCTCATTCATCGTCCTCCGGCGCACTGAAACCGTCGAAATCCTCCTCTTCAGTGTCGGAGTTAAACAAGCTGCGTCACACAGCGGTACCTGTTCAGTTTCTGTGTCGCTGTCCTCCCGGGCTGGCTCTGAAGCTGTGGTGCCCGCTTCACGTAGCAGTCCAGCCTTTCAGAACCCATTTGTGATGGTGGACTCATTCACTCTGCTCCACACTGTTAGGATCCACTGGCAGACATCAGGAAATGTCGCTCTTCGCATTCAGCCAGTTTTTGTGAATGATTTATCCCCGTCAGTCAGCTGCTGGGAAAGCCCTCCTGCTCCAGCATACRTCACTGCATGGGATTCCTTCCCCGGGGAGTGCAATGCTGAAAAAAAAAGTCAGCAGCCCCTCACTCGACGTTTATCCACAAACTGGTCCTGGATTAAGCTCCAAAGTTTTTATCAGTCAGATTCCATCGTGAAAAATGTTTTATCCCTTTTTTATGAGTTTTTGGCCATTGACTATCTTTAAATCGCTGCTTCCTGGTCAACAGTCGGCTCTGGAAGCAATGGCTTTTTTCTTTTCTTTTTTTCTTCTTTTTTTGAAGCGAGTGGTTGAAGCAAATGGAGCATAAGAGCCCCCTGGTGGCTGAAGAAAAAAATCCACGTATAAGCCGCACCGGACTATAAGCCGCATGGTTCAAAGTTCAGGAAAAAAGTCACGGCTTATAGTCTGAAAAATACGGTAAATGCAAACTCTTTAGTCTGATTATTTCCTGAGTTTCTTTCAGATGTATCCAGTAGTTCATGTGATATTTTACTAACTGTGAACAAACCAACAAATACAGACAAAGGTAAAACCATTTTGCTGATGGTAAGAGTCCTCTGTGGTTCTGGTGATAAAGCTGCTGTCATCGTGATGACGGCTGATGTTCCTGTTTGTCTTTCAGAAGGAGGCTGAGTTTAAGGCCGTCCCCACACCGCTGTCTCCACCAGCAGCCCCCGCCACACCCGTAACCCCCGCCACTCCAGCTACCCCGGCCTCTTCAGCTTCTCCAGGGACCCCCAGCACTCCCAGTTCCATCTCCCCGACTGGGATCACCAAACGCAAGACGGGTCAGTATCTGTTCAGCTTTGATTCGATGATTTAAGAATTAGTTTTTTTGTGTTGAAATAATGTGTTTATGTTTTGTAAACTCTTAAACACTCAGTCTGAATTAACAAAAAGTTGTTTCTTTTACCAAAACCAAAGGAGCCCTGACACCATTTACATTGTTTTTATTTAGCCCAACCCTAATCCTGACTTAATTTTTGCCTAAATTTCTGCAACATGTTGAACTTTGACACCAGCGGAGGATTAATAGTTCTCCTGCCTCCAGCTGGTCCACTTGATTACTTGTTAGCAGGAGCTTAATGGCTCCAAATAATCATTATTTCACAATGATGGAAAAACAAGACATTTATCCCGAGACTGCAACCATTAAAAGTTTGCTCTGCAGAAAGCGCTTACCAGGCGTTGGACTTTACAGTTTCATTTATTTGTTGACTCCCTGGACTGCCTCACATTGACAACCTTTAGACTCGATTGTGTTTCACTATCTCTCATTAATCTTATCTGCTGAATCACAAGTACGCCCTCTTCTCCAGCTTATGTAATTTATTTCTGCAAGTATTTGCATTATGATAATAATGTTATTACTGATGCATTGTTTTGCGATGTTTCGTTTCTGCTGACTGGACCGAAGCAGCAGAGCGTTGCTGTCCTGTTATTGCAGCTGATTTTTTCAGTTTCATTTGTTTTATTTTTCCAGCTTTTAACTCTTTTTTTTCTGAAAGGCTTGCACATGCGTAGTAATTATTCTTTATAGTTTCAGTTGCTCCACGACAGCTGAAAATTTAAATCTGTATATTTTAAATGCATTTTATTGACATGCATGCTTGACGACAGGCGAAAAGTAGCCGATGGTGCGTCTGTGTGCAAAATACCTCTTGAAATATTGATTTTAATAAAACCTTCAGGAAATTATCTCTCATGTACCTTTACAACTAATAAGGTTTTTGAGCTGAGTTCAAGATGGCCTCTACAGCCAACAAAAATGGCCGTAATGCCGTCAGTTTTATAGATAAAGAGCTAAAATTTGAAGTGGTAGGAGCTGAGAGTMATTCATAACTCATATGAGTGTTACATCTCATGATATTGTAATATTCATAACATTCAGTTTTTCCTCTAAATCAGGGGTCTGCAACCTGCGGCTCTGGGACCACACATGGCTCTTTGGTCCCTCTACAGTGGCTCTTTGAAAATGTGACCAAACGTAACAGAATAATATTTTTGTTGTTTTTGTACCCACAACAGAAATCTATTTGTAAGCAAATACRTGATCAATACTACTAATACAAAAAGTAAAACATGTTAGCTTATGCTAGCCTGTTGTTTACTTAAATAATCCAACTTTTGTCTTTCTCTCAAATCCATCAGAATTACCTTTAAAGAATATTAAAAACTACATAATATGAATTAGAAAAAAAAGCCTGAATAATTCAGTTGTACTATTTTTTTTTAAATAAAATTAGGTATAAACTACATAAAGTATTTTTCTTGCTTACATAAATATAGTCTTTTTATTTGTCCTGATGGGTAACGATAATAATAATAAAAAATAAAATTTGCAATATTTTTTAGTTTTATAATGTCACCTCCGCTGGCCGTAAAAGTTCCAGATAAGGCCTTGAAAAGGCCCACAGACCACCAGTTGATAATTAGAGTTGTAGCTTATTTTGCGGCTCTGGACACATTTTATTACTGCGTCTGTAGCAGAAATGGCTCTTTTGATTGTAAAGGTTGCAGACCCCTGCTCTAGAGCTTTGGGAGAGTGGGAGGGGTTTTAAAACATTACTAGTATTAAGAGTGCAATTTAAAAAAAAATAAAAATCAACATAAAATGTCTTCAATTTAATTTGCATTAGTTGAAACATGTATTTCTCAATTAAATAACTAAAATAACTCGTGTGGTCATGAACCAATTTTAGAATGCAGTAAAGCTGATTAAATGTAAAAATGACCTGCCATAGAGCTGAGCTTCCCCTGCTACAGAATATTTTAGTTATTTACGAGGAAATATTGAAACCGATTGTGTTTAATGTTAAGGAAAACACTGACATTATTTTCAAGGTTTGACCAAAACAAGTTTATCTCTCTCTCWTTATAAGATGATTGTAAAGTGAACATGACATGACAGGCGGCGGGTGAWATGCATTCCTTTAAGAACATCTAGGCCCTTAATCWCTTTTTGTTTCCACATCCCACCTTCGAGGCAAGCTTTGAAGAAATTTTCAGCCCATGGAGCTTTGTTTTCATTTGGGAAGCCCTTCCTTTCTTACTTTCTTTTCTTTTTAGAACTACGGTAAATCTCTCCTTTTTTTTTTCTCCTCCTGTTCTCCTCACGTTTGCCATCAGCATCTGTGTGTTGCTCCAGTAACAGCCCTGCCACCATCACTGCTGCTGGAATCATCACATTAAAGTAACACACTAATTTGACCAGAAATTGCATTCCTAATGTCTCGGGTTAATGCTTTCATTATGGATATCTTCAAGAAAAACAACAGCAGCATTGCTACCTTTTGCTAGAATCTTAACAAGGAGCCAAACGGAGGCAGATGTGGAACGGAAGCCAAGATTGCCCTCGAGCACTACTGTTGCATACGATTATAGAGGAAATTACACTGGAACTGTAGAGCTGCTTGGCTGCATATCTTTCTGGATGGAATTAGTGTTTTCGTTAAAGTACGCAGCTGTGATTCTTTGCTTTCTTTGCCCTACAACTGCAGCAAGATCCTCCTGTTTTTCATCTGCACATCTTGTTTTTTTTTTTGTTTAATCATTTCTGACTGTTTCTTTTTTATATATATTTAACTCCCATCCTGTTGTTTGCAGCGAGGAAGATGTTCCCCAAGAGGAAGCTGGATGAGAGCAGGAGCAGCAGCGAGAGTCCGAAAGAGGAGACGGAGGTCATCGAAGAGCAGGGTCAGCAAAACAAACGAGCTCGTGTGGAGAGCTGCGTCAGCAGGGCAGGTACGCTTTCTCCTCTGCAGAAAGGCTAACGGAGTGCACGTCCTGCGCAGGTGTGGACGGTGCAGGTGGAGGTGGGAAGCTGCACAAACACACGGGAAAAAAAAAACCAATATGTCAAATACAAACCAGATAACCTGAATGAGAGATGAAACATTGCTGAAACTTAAAATAGCTGAAATACAGTCGTTAAGAAAAGTCAACCACTAGCTAAAAGCTAAAATGAGCAAAAATATTAGCTAAAAGTATCAAAAACAAGCTAAATGTAGCAGCAAAGAG